TGGCACGATCGCCTCACAGCAAGAAAGTCTCTGGTTCGAGCCTCGGCTGGGTTAGATGGCATTTCTGAGTGGAGTTTGCATGTTCTCCTCGTGTTCGTGTGGGTTTTCTTCGGGTGTTTCGGTTACTCCCACAGTCCAAAGACATGCGCTATAGGTGAATTGGGTGAAATAAACTGTCCATGTGTGTGAATTAATGTATATGGGTGTTTCCCAGTAACAGGTTGCAGCTGGAAGGGCATCCACTGTGTAAAACATATGGCGGATAAGTTGGCAGTTCATTCCGCTGTGACGACCCCAGATTAATAAAGAGATTAAGCCGAAAAGAAAATAAACAAAAACAGTAAATAAATAAAGTGTAGCACACATGTCTTGCTTTTGATGGATATTTGCATGTAATATACGAAGACTAGAACTAATTAACTGAATTTGAAACAAATGCATGTTGCCAAGTGCTCAAAGTGAATGGCTATCTGGTCAGTAAGAACACATGAAGTGACAATCTGTAGACATCTGTGCACCTGAAGAAGGTTCTGTGTCTCATGTCATGATCTTAGCTCCCACACAAACACAAACAAACAGACTCGTGTTGTGGAGGAGCTCAGTCATTCAGACAGCAGTCATAAAGGAGCATCAGAAATCATGCACGTGTCTGGCTGCTGTGGTAACTAGGCAACCGGGCTCCCTCATAATGAAGAACACTTATGTGACGTGGTCTCTGGTAGCCATTGCATTGTCTGTCCTCTCTCTTGATTTGTGCATGAGTCTCAGGCATTGAGTGTGCTGATGCAATTACATGGGCAACAGTTTTCTTTGCTGATTTGGTTCATAATGATTCATTTTCCATTTTATAATTGGCTATTAGCTACATTTACGTTTCAGCTCTTCTGGAAAGGTTCATCATGTTTGATTGGCTGGAGCAGGTGTTGTTAGTCCAGGCCCAGTGTTGTGTCTCTGCGTCAGCTGAATACATTCACTCAGACCTCATTCCCTGGTAATTGCTTTGTCCAGGCAATAAAGTGGTGTCTGATTCAGGTCAGTGTTTAAATCTTGGCTTTAGAGATGAACTGGGTGAGACAGTAAGAGTGGTTTGTGTGATTGCATGTGTGTGTGTTTGTGTGTGTGTACAGGTCCATGTGGTCCATCAAAATAAACTACAAAATACAGCAGCCACAAATGTATCAAAGTATACTGTAGTTTGTTTAAATACAAAATACTTTTACAAGGGAGCATGACATTTCTTCACAAACCCTCCATAGGCATATATAATCAATCCCTTCACCATTTAACTGACTTACTCTTTCATTTTAGCATACATTTTGTACAGATTTCATACAGAAAGTCCTGTCTTGAAGACAATCTCTTTAATCACTGCAAAAACTATCTATTGCAGATAATGAGTTGGAGCACTATATCTCCTTATTGTGTTTCCATCCACAGCGTAGCCAGTGAAATGCAACAATTTCTTAACTTATACTTAAATCCTATATTTAAAAAGGATGTATGAAGAGGCTATTTTATTTTTTGTTTAATAAATGTTTAAATAAATGTTTTTTGCAACTGAAATCTTTATTACTTAATGTAAAAAAGATGTCTTAAAGAATTTTAGTAGTCTGAAAACTACTAAAATCTCCAGTTTTAGTCATTTCCATCAATCATGTTTTTGTTTTTTTTGCAGTTGTACTCTTTAATGCACAAACAAATGACAATGATTTCTCTAAAAACTTAAGTTATCTCTTTTTGCACTAAACTCTTCATATACATCCTACTGCTGCTGTATAACGGGAGTCTTGAAAATCCTCCACATTTTCACCCGCAGCACTGAGACTGAAAATGATTATGTGCTGAAGGCTCCATATCCTGTTCTTAATTACTTTATTCCTCCTCAATTCCTCAATTCCTTCTCAAAGCAAAGATGCTGATGCTGAATTGTACATTATGCAGCCATATTATATTACTGGTCTTAGCATTAACCAGTAAATTATTTTCAATGATTGTTGACTTGCTCCAAATATGCCATTTGTCTGTTATTTTCATTATTTTCATTATGTGTGCATAATTTCTATCAATACTTCAACCATTGACCTTTTTAGTCAGTTTTCTGTTCTGACTTTTTTCATCAACCCTATCAAATACAAATTACAAAATACTATTTTGTATTTAAAATACATAATTGAAATAAATGTATCTTAAATACTGCTCATCCCTGACTAGGCCCACACAGAATGCATGCTCAGAAATCAGCAGATTTTTTTAGCCCATCATTAAATCGGTCTATTTACTTGCGCAAATGTGTGTAAATTTGAATCTCAGTTTTTGTATTAATTTTAGTAATGTTATTAACTTATAAGCATATTTGTATATGATCTAATTACAAAACAGTTTGTAAAGTATTATTTTCTGTATTTTTGTAGATTTGTTTACCAATAAAGTGGTCCTAATTGCATTTGCAAAATGCAGAACAACGCTGGGTTCCACACATTCGATTTGTGTTGGGACAACATAAACAAATTAAGTTATTACTTTTTACAAATAAAAAACCTAAAACAATTAAGTTTTCCCAAAGAAATCTCAGGATTTGTGTTGTTTAAGCTCATTTTAAAAAAGTAGTTTAGACAAACAACAAAAAATATTTGTAAACCTTAAATAAAAGTAAAAAATGTATTATTTTGTTATTTGATGTTTTTAGTTACTATACTTAAAATCATTATGCATAAATCTGCTGATTTTTATTATTTTTATAAAATTCAACACAGACATAGCAAAAAAAGTGCAGATTGAGTCCGGCCCTGGGCATTATTTAAAAATACAGGGTGATGACTTGTGTCCATGTTATTAAAAATCATACTTAATGAGGTCTTTTGAAATAACGAGTATAAGTGTAGGGGTGGCTTAGGGACATATAATAAGTGTTTTTTTTTTGCAGTATAAAATACATTATGCCTGTCCAGAGTCTGTAAACCATGTATACAAGTGTGGGTGTGTAAGAAAACAAGGATTTGTTTTTAGAGGAGGTGTCATGATTTGAGTCAGTTCAGGTATTTTTGTATGTGTTTATGCAGCTGGTGAAGCACAACCTCAGAGCAGTGACAGACTGTTTATCAGACTCGTCTTTGGAAAGAAAAGCAAGCTTGTTTGCTTTGTTGTCACGTTTTCAAAAAGTCTGCATTCTCTGATGAACCGGGCAATCAGAGTTGACAGCTCTGACAGAAAGTCATGTATAGTGTATGATTGCTTTCAGACATGTTTGATGTCCTCAGAGCTTATTTTAGAGCACATATTGTCTACAACTGGAGTGCGTTTCCTACTCTCCAAACCAGCAAACAAAAAACAGCCCTTGGATATTTGGCAACCCAATGGTGGACAGAACACATGATGGGTTATTTTGATTCAGCTTGCTGAATTTTAACCCATTTTCTAGGTTGTTTTTGACATGCTGTGTTAAACTACTGTTCCAAGCAGATATTAACTGTAGCATAAAATTATAATGTATAATGAGGGATAAAGGTGTCAGTAAAGGTGGTTTGTGTTTCTGCAGTAATAAAAATACCGCTAGATCACCATAAGAAGTTTTCTCTCAGAACAGCTCACAAAACTCTTGACACATTTCTGAAAATGTTTTTTTTTTTTTTGTTTGACAGAGACTATCCAACTCTGGGTAAATGTGTGCAGTTGTTTATCATTTGTATTTATATGTCAGTGAATTTGACCCAGCAGCTGAATTACTCAACAATAGGCACCTGTGTTTATATACACTGTAAAAAAAATAAATATATATATATATATATATATATATATATATATATATATATATATATATATATATATATATATATATATATATATATATATATACCTCTCGGTGCCATTTGAAATGTTCTTCTAATATTACCATTTTTCTCAGGTTTCTTTGTCTTGATTCATTAATTTCTCTTTTATGGCAAAGAATAGATTATTTTCATCACTTTTAACAAAAATAACTAAACATAAACATAAGAGGCTGAGAAAAATGCTTATTTTAGAAGAAAATTTCAGATGGCACTTAGAGGTTTTTGCATCGGAACTCTTCATATATATATATATATATATATATATATATATATATATATATATATATATATATAGTCACAAGTTTGAGAAGTGTGAGTGTGGTTTCTATGTTTTTGAAGTTTACTAAATCAGTAAATGCTGGAGGTACCATATGGGTTTTCCTCTAGCTGATGCAGATACCAATAATTAGAAATTAGGGCAGTCCATTTATATTATATGATGCAGATTTTTTTGGCCAATATGTTCAGCTGATTTTCTTTTTAGTTAAAAAAAGGGTAAAAAAAAATTAAGTGATAAAATATAATAAATAAAATTACTTAAATACCTTTTAGCTGGTTATAAATGTGCTGCACCGATCCAAATTATTTGAAAATGGTAAAAATCAGTCAGAATAATCAGCTTGCCAATCAATTTGTCAACCTCCTGTGCATGGAAATGTTTTGAAATGGGTTAGATAGATTGCATTATTTAGACTTATGTGCTTATTATACAGAAGATTTTGCTCTACTGCCTTGTTAATTTAACACCTCTTTAAATAGGTAAAATGGTGAGTTAAGTTTTTTTTTTAAACAGAGAAGTCAGACAAAAATTAGCTCTATTCACTTGCTGACTCTCTGCCAGCCTTCACAAATAGGACTGAATCTTTATGATGATGCAAACAATTAAGTTTAAAATGAGCTGACACAATTGTTTTTTTTTTTATTTCTGTTGAATCCCGGACCCTCTCCAAGGCTGAGATTATTGGATTTCTAAAATTGTGTTTAGAATAGCTGTTCAATGCCATGTTAATTTAAGTAGCTGTCACTCAGTTTATATATCAGTTGTGTTAAAATTCACTATTCTCTGAAGTATTTGTGGTGAGGGAGAAAGCAAAAAAATCAATTATATCAAGCAAAAAATGTGTTTCTGTTTGTGCACCAGAGAAATAAAATCTCTGTTTGTTCCCTCCACAGTGCAGGAGTCAGCCACACATCGGACTGAGGCACGTCACCAAACAACGGGTATGTTCTCTCCTCTGTTTTCTCATGTTATATCCTGTAGGAAACAGGAAGCATTGATTTTTGGAACTAGTTGCTAGCTAATTGCCCCGAGGCAGAAAACATCACTGATATTTTCCCACCACTAGTTTTTGACAGCCAGACTTGAAATATATCATATATACCTTCTGTAAATCACACCTTTCACAATATATTTGAACCGTGAACTTAAACAGTGTTTAACTGTAAAACGTTTTAAATGAGTTCTCATTAAGTGTGTGTGCTGTAAATCCTAATTAAGGTAACTCAATTAGAGTATGTGATGGTCAAACCAACTGAGGAAACTGGTAGAAACAGAGGTACTTTAAGTGATTAGCAAAAAGACAATAATACTGTGCTTAAGCGTGCGCAGCCATTGATTTTTAAGTAAAGCAGCATACAGTTTTAATGGAATTATTTGGCCTGTCATTGACCTGTTCACTGTATCTGCTCTTCAGCAGAATGATATGCCTCAGATAAGTCTTTCTTGGGACTTTCATGCCCCAAACTCTGCTCTTATTTTTTGATAAAATTTAAAAAATCTTTTTAAAGGTTTACGCTGTTGTTGCAGATCAAATTTTAATATTTATATGTTTTTTTTATGTAAAAATGTGTATGTTTATAATAATAACAAAGATATGTTAATTATTACTCACTTAGACCCTATCTAAACCTGAAATATCTAAAAAAATCATAACACACATCCACCATGTTTGTATTTTAGACTTATGCTCTGAATCCAGTGCAGAGGATTTGTGGGCAATTTCCACCATTAATGTGCATCAATCTCCACTTTGAATTGTTTTTAGAATCATTTTAGACTATTCTGTCACTTCCCAAAACAAACTGTGATTTCAGACACACTCTTATTCTCTATTAGGCTTCTCTAATTCCAGAATAAAAGAACACTTAATAACACTTAAAATTTGAACATTTTCTATCTTTTAACAGATGAAAGCAAAGCATGCTGAAACTATCTGCTTCATTAAATTAGTTATCGAGAACTTTTTTTCACCTAAAACTTTGGTAACATTTGATTAAAATATAGTTATAGGTTTATTTTTATTGTACTGTTAGGGTTTACAGTAAAATGGAAAAACTGAGCTTAAAGCTTTTATGTGTGATTGTGTCGACAGTTTCCAGACTTTTCCACATTGTTCTGACAATTTGTTTTGCCTGCCTAAACAGAGCCACCAAATGCTCATCTACTAACTATTACATCTGTGCTGTGCACAAGGATTTTCATGCAGAAATAATTAGCATAATCATTTTAGATTTTCAAATTAGTTTTAAACCAGTTGAAACAACAAACTGAACAACAACAATATTAAAATGAACATAAGAACATTTATGTCATTCATTAATTTTCCTTCGGCTTAGTCCTTTTATTCATCAGTGATCGCCATAACAGAATGACTCACCAACTTATCTAGGAAATGTTTTACACAGGGTGTAATGCAGTGGCGCAGTGGGTAGCATGTTTGCCTCACAGCAAGAAGGTCGCTGGTTCAAGCCTCGACTGGCTCAGTTGGCATTTCTGTGTGGAGTTTGCATGTTCTCCCTGTGTTCGTGTGGGTTTCCTCCGGGTGCGCCGGATTTCCCCACAAGTCCAAAGACATGTGGTACATGTCTTACAATTGGTACAATTGGTTTTGCTAAAATTGACAGTAGTGTATGAGTGTGTGTGAATGTTTCCCAGTGATGGGTTGCAGCTGGAAGGGCATCTGCTGTGTAAAACATATGCTGGATAAGTTGGCAGTTGGCGCGGTGGCAACCCCTGATTAATAAAGGGACTAAGCCGAAAAGAAAATGAATGAATGTTTTATGCAGCGGATGCCCAGGCAGCTGTAACTCACTACTAGGAAACACCCATACACACACTCATTCACATACATTATGATCTTTTTAGTTTATTCAGTTCACCTATACCACATGTGTTTGGACTGTGGGGGAAAACCAGAGCATCAGGAGGAAACAAGGGGAGATCCGTCTTGCAAGGCGATTGTGCTAACCACTGAGCCACCATGTCACCCCAAATATATATCTGCTTTTTATAATTGTGATGGAAATGTGTGAGTACATTTGATTACATATGTAAATAACCTTACTGTTTAAAAAATATTAACGAATGAGGCCCAAACAAAACGAAACAGCTCTGACACACTTTTTTGAAAAGAACACAAATGTCTTATTAGTAGTTGCCTATAATGAACGAAACCAATGAAATTGCAATAAATTCTACCATCATTTGCTCACACTCATGTTGTTCCATCAAATAACTTCATTTTTGTTGTAAAGATGAATTAAAGCTGAGTGGATCTGTTATTACATGAGAATAGGTAAATAATGACAGAAGCTCTATCTTTAAACTGCTTTAACCTGTAATAACAGTAAAACACACCAGAGTTAAGACTCGTCACACCATTTTGTTTTGTATGAAAATACAGTCTAATCTTGCCTCATGAGATCACCTGTCTAAAGAAGAGTTGAAGAGCTTTTTTTATTTACACCTGTGTGACCAGCATGATGCAACAGCACTCCATATAGTGAGACTGTAGCCTGATCCACAGACCTTCTGACAATACAGCAGCGGCGAGGGATCAGGCAGAAGCTCTCCATCAAAGCCCAGAGCTCTTCCTTGTCCCCATTAACACCGGGACCTCCATCAGCCCGGCACTGCAGGCGAGGCTTTGATCCTCGTGCACATACACAGTCACGGTCCGTCTAGGAATGCTTAAACATGACTTTCATCTTTGCAAATTCAGATTCTTATTCTGTCAGCATGTGCTCCACTTGTTCTCAAGGCAGCATTTGCTAGGCTCCACCACAGCAGAGGTCGACTGGGTTTATCTGACTCTTTGATACTATGCATTTGATGACATTTTTTTTTTCTGAGGCAAACAACTGAGCTTAGAATGTGAGGGCTGGATCGTGTTGCAAAGCTTTTGTTGAGACTCACCTGACTTGTACACTTGGCTCACAAAGCCCTTCATTAAAAAGTGTCTTCAATGAGCGATTATGCTGGGGAAACAATGAGACTCATGAATTCTGCCTCTGAACTTGCTCAGATTTTACATTTTGTTCTCACCGAAGATAAACAAGGACTGTGGCACTGAAATGGTTGTGTGAGAACAGCATTATAAGGGTCTCCTGTTTCTTTATGTGGTTTTCTTTGACATCAAAAGGCATCTTGGACTGGGTTTGTTTTTGGTTGCACCCTTTCCTTTCCTTGTGGAGGATTAGAATGACCACCTAATGACTATTGTCAAAACATAGTTCTTATTTTCAAGGCAAAAACAGCTCTGTTTATTTTAATACCTGTATATTTTATACTTTGACAGGGCTTGAATAAAGGTTGGAAACTCCCTTTATAGAGTGTAGATTTGAACGATATTAGCATACATTCTTTGGGAGGACTTCACACTGATGAGGAGCAAACCATGTAAATGTTAAATAAATACAGATAATAACTAATCACGAGGTCAATCAAATTGCAGAAATATGACATGGGTCAAAATGAGCTGAAATTTAAACCAAGCACCCAATTTAAAGGAGCAGTTCACTTCCAGAATAAATATTTTGTCATCGATTTCTCACCCTCCACTTCTTCCTGTATGACTTTCTTCTGTTGATTAAAAAATATATATTTTGAGAAATGTTGATATTTGAGCAGTTGATGGTCACCGTTGGCTTGCTTAGTAGGGCTAAAAAAATACTGTGGAAGTCACTGGATACCATTAAAGAAGTGGAAGTCGGTGGTGTCCAGTAATCCTTGAAGTTCACTACTCTTGGTTGTTGTTCAATGTTTTTAAAGACATAAGGGCTGGTCTGAGAATTTCAGAAAGTACAGGGACTACAATTGGAAATAAACAGGTTTAAAATTGTAATATTCAGCCTGTTGTGTACATCACAAATACGAAACATGCTCCATACAATACAGTTCAGTACACTACAATGTAATTCGGTACGGGTCCCCCTAATTAGGCTTGCATTTCTACTGCCAACAGTGCTCATGCTTTATAGATGTCAACCCATGCTTATTGGAAATATGTGCACAGGACTGCATTTTTGAGAACTGATAAATATGTACCCTGGACTAGGTTGTCTTGCAGTTTTTGTTTTATTACAAATCCACTAGAGGGTCCCGTGTACATTTTTGACTATGTTGAAATAGAGAAACAGAGAGAAATGCTTTCCACTTATTTAATTGCAACATCTGAATGGCTCCATAAACAGCAATAGAGGATTCACCCTTTTTGTACCGTAGTTTTGTGCTAGGTACCCTTATGAAAGGGTCGCAAAAAAGTGCTATAGTTCGCTAATCTGGTACTTTTGACAATGGTCCATACTATACTCTACTAAGTACTTTACTAATACTAAACTGAATCCCTAATGAAAAATGAAAAGCAAAAAACAAACAGCTTAGAGGATAAAAATAAAACATGTTCCATACTCTAGGATTTATTCAATCAAATCTTTTTGGTTTATATTAATATACGGTATATATGGATTATCCATAGATCCTGCTGGATCTGTTCACATTTACTGTTAACGATGGCCCATTCCACTCAACTAATAATGAGGACATGTGAAAGGAGCAATAAAATCTAACTAACTTCTACTTGGTCAAATGATGGCATGTACAAAAGCAATGCATCATTAAGAAAGGTTGCTGAGCATGTAATAATAGCATCGATCTGTCACTGGAACTTTGATTAACCTTAAAACATTAGCATGTCTGCTAGGCTGCATAAATCAGGTATTCGCTCTACAAAATAACATGCTATGCTGAGATGCAAAAACAGGAAATGTATTGATTTTCTTTTTTTTTTCATGTCACGAGGGATGAGAATTTAATGGACCCTCATTATGCCTCTGCATGCAGTTGTGGTGTTTCATGCACAGATCTCTGCCAAGACTCTACTCCAGTTGATTAAGAATGGGACGGTCAGCTTGATTAGCTTGCACAAAGCTCCTGCTGGCCA